TCACGTTTGTTGAACCTCTCAGATTATTTGCATCATGGATGCAAATATGAACATAAATCCTCAGACAATATCTTCACAGAGCCCATCCATTCAGAAAGGGTCACTTCAAAAGGAAGATCTTGGGTTATCAAACATTCTGCCCCTGGTAGAGTTACTATAGCCAAAGTGCTACGTTACTATTACTGTTCCAGATCAGATCATACTAGCTAATTTTCCTGCTTTAATCACTGTATAGAAGACAATCATCTTCCCTGGTTTAGGCAACTAAAGCTAGATTCTATTTGATTCTTGTCTCCAGACAACATTTTTAAGTCAGGCACTTCTGCATCTCATCTCTGCAGTTTGAACTTCTTTGACCATTCTGTTAAAAGCCATTCAATGCTTTCAATGCTGCAGTCTTTTCCTCTCCATACTGTACTTTGTCTTTTGTTTGTTTGTTTGTTTTCTGTGGGGTTTGTTTGGTTTTGGGTTTGTTTTTTTTTTTGTTAAGTAATAATGCAAATTCCCTCATTAAAAGAAGTTAAACAAAATATGAATACACTAAGTGACCTACCCAAATATCCCATGCAAAGATGTAAATTTGTGGCATTAGTTTGGTATGACATCAGACACACAGTAAGATACTAATATTTCAAAAACATCAATTTATTCTAATACTAGAGAGAGATTCCTTGAGGAAATTACTTCATGTACAACCTACATATGGAGGTTCTTTGGAAACAGGAAGAACCTATGTAAATAGTGAACATATGATAAGTCTGCCTTACTTCTTGTGCCTCCTCATCATTAAAACAAGTCACGTTCACATGGTGCAACAGATGCTTCCTGAGGTGGATAACCTCCCACAACACAACTAAAATCTCAGTTAGTAATATTACATCTCCCTTTTAAAGGGAAAGTTACCCATTTACAGCATATCTCTTGAAACCAGTTTAAACAATTGCAATCTTGTACATATTAATAATAAAGTAATAACAGCAGGATCTAGATCTGATAGAAAAATTCATATTAGACTGCCCTAACAATAAGCATAGGTTCGGGGTTTTTTTCACATCCTTCCTTTTTCCTTTTCTCTGCTGTACCATACCAAAAAATAAAGAAGAAAAAAATCTAACTAGTCTGTGCTCAGACTAGAGGCCCTCTAACTTCCTTAGAAGACTTCAACAAATCCCTCATGTGTTTCCGTAACTATTAAATCCCGTGCTAAAAATGTAGATCAGGTTTCCCCACATTAATGTCATCAAGGTCAAATACAAGCTTCTTTCCAGCCCATATAAAGTAGGTCCAAACAGGCTTCCAGTATCAGATCATTTCTGAGAAAATAAGAAATTTCTTCTAACAAGTTCTAATTTTCTTATATCCTAAAAAAACTCCTTCTCTACAGAATGATTTTATGTGACCCTTCATTTTACAGAGGAAAAACAAACTACAACATAAAACAGGGCATGAAAACATTAGGAAAAATAAACTGTGTGCAGATGAAGTGTCTGAAATCACCATTGGGAGTTAACTGGATTAGCAAATTAAAATAGTTAAAATAAATAGTCCACCTTTAGCTCTTTTTACCTTCCCTCTCAAAATAACTTATTTACAAGAACTTCCTTCCTTGGTGTAAATATACACTTGTAATAGTGTTGTAGTGCTGGTAAAAGAGCAGAAAGTTATTCTACTTTGTGACATTCTTCCTGCCAAATATAAAGCTGAGGAATATCTAACCAACATACTCAATATGCCGCTCTTCCAGGACTCTTGCAAGTAAAAACCATGCAGCATAAAACAGAAAATCCATTCCCTGCTGTTAAGTAAAATCCCTGCATTTCATGTAAGCTTTACTTCTAATAGAGATTTTTTAATTATCAGTCCTCATTTTTAATCAAGGCAAGCAGCACTACCCACTGTGACAGAACAAAAAAAAATCTGGTTCTGAAATAGTGTATATTAGGATATACTTAGCGTATATTCAGACCTACTGTAATCAGAGAACTATGTAACTGTGTTGTTGAAATGTAGATCTTTTAAGATTATTGTAAAGATCCAGTAAAAGCACTACTAAGTAAAAGAAGAACATAAAAATTAGCTGAACTTGCAATTAAACTGCATTTCTTAATTATTTCAGACTTGCATTTAATGCCTTAGAAGAAAACACCCTATGCAAATACATATTCATCACCAATTTGCATGGAAAATATACGTAGAGCTAGGTTGCAGGGAGGGGGTTATTAAATATTTCTTCAATAGTTTAAAATGAACTAGCAGAAACAAGGGCTACATTTCGGTCATCTTATTTTATGCACAATGAGTAGTTTGAATACACAGTTTCACTCATCTGTCAGTACCCCAGCTGAAACAGCATCCCTCATCAGCTGTTCTAATTTCAGCCTCTTAAACAGGTCTTAAGAGTAGCTTCTGTTGCTTCCTCTGGAACAGGAAGAAACTTAAGGTCAGATATAAAGATGGTCCACTGAAAACCAGGACAGATCTTCTGAATACTAATAAAAAGTTTCCAATGTATAAATATTTCTGTATTTTCTTCTAACTTTCTCAGCTTCCATGTATAACAAATGCAGTACAAGTGAAGAGAATCAATCAAAGTGCTGGGAAGTTCATTAGGAAGATCACACTCCATCACTGATGTTTCAGTTTTCAGACTGGACTGTGCCTATCCCAAACATTAATGACAACCACCCAACATTCTGCAATAACAGAGCTAGACTATCTCCATTATATTATAAAAGCCATGGTAGTCAGGAAAAATCCCTAACTGGGAAAAGGGAAACATCACTCCTATTTAAAATTAGAAGAAAGGAAGACAGGGGAACTAAAGAACAGTGAGTCTCAGCTCTGTGTCTGGAGCAGATCCTCAAGGAAACAATGTTAAGGCACACACAGTGATGTGATTCCAGACAGCCAGCACTGCCTCGCTAAGGGCAAACAGTGTCTAACCAACCTGGTGGCCCCAGGGTGACTGCAGCGCTCAGAGAAGGAACACGAACCCATGTTGTCTACCTAGACTTCTGAAAGGCTTCTGGCATGATCCCACATAACATCCTTTTCGCCAAATTGGAGAGAGATGGATTAAAAGGGTGGACCATTCGGTGGATAAGGAACTGGCTGAATGGACATAGCCCGAGTTGAGGTCAGTGGCTCCATGTCCAGGTGGAGGCCAGTAATGAGTGGTGCCCATCAGGGACTTCTGTCAGGACAAGTGCTCTGTGATATCTTCATCAATGACAGACAGTGAGATCAAATGCACCCTCAGCAAGTTTACAGATGACCCAAAGCTGAGCAGTGCAGTTGGCACAACAGAAAGAAGGGATGTCATCCAGAGGGACCTGGACAACCTTGAGAAGTAGGCCCAGGAGAACCTCCTGAAGTCCAAGTGCAAGGTGCTGCACCTGGGTTGGGCCAAGCCAGACATGAGCACTGACTGGGAGAACTCACTGAGAGCAGCCCTGCGGAGAAGGACTTGGAGGTTCTCATGGATGAAAAGCTGTACGTGAGCCAACAGTGTGTGCTCACAGTCCAGAAAGCCAACTATATCCTGGGCTGCATCAAAAAAAAAGTAGCCAGCAGGTCAAGGGAATTGATCTTCCCCTTCTATTCTGCTCTTGTGAGACCCCCACCTGGAGTACTGCATCCGGTTCTGGGGTCCTCAGCACAAGAAACACATTGACCTGTTGGAGCAAGTCCAGAGGAAGCCACCAAGATGCTCAGAAGGCTGGAGCACCTCTCCTATGAAGACAGACAGAGAGCTGCGATTGTTCAGCCTGTAGAAGGCCCCAGGGTGATCTTATTGTGACCTTCAGTACTTAAATGGAGGGTATAAAAAAGAGGGAGAACAACTTTTTACACAGGCAAGTAGTGATAAGACAAGGGAGAAAGGTTTTAAACTAAAATAGGAGAGATTTAGATTACATGTTAGGAATAAATTCTTTACTCAGAGGACAGTGAGGCACCAGAACAGGTTGCTCAGAGAAGCTGTGGATGTCCCATCCCTGAAAGAACTCAAGATCAGGTTGGATGGGGCCTGTTGATGCTGTTTGCACACAGGCACATAGAAAAGTAAGTAGCATCATATTAAACTTGACAAATGACAATTCATAACCAAACTCATTCAGGGAGAGCAATCTTCTCCTAGATGTTATAAAAAAGGATGACAAAGAAGGGCAAGATTCTTCTCCCATTCATCTACAGTGACAATGGGTATCAGAGCCACATGGCAATACCCTTATTTTTAGGGGACATCATCACTCTCCTTCCTTTCTAAAGCTTGTGCCTAACAACTGCCAGAATGCAAAGTAAACACAACAAAACTACACAGATATTTCCACTCCTACTAGTAATTTTGAGAATCCTGATGGTAAAGTTGAGTAAGTGCAAGGGCATGTCCTTTGCCAGGACCATCAGGAGCCTGCCTACCCAACTCATTTGAACGCAGACACAAAAAACTTCAGGCAGGTCTGTATAACCTTCCTTAGTTCATAGGTTTTAATCTACCATTAGCCTACAGCAGGAGGTGATTACTACTTCCCTGTAAAATGTAAGCAAAACCAGAAATCTTTCTAAACTGCTGTCTGTAAAAGGTATTGCTTTGCACCATGAAGTATTTGCAACAGATCAAAGGCAAATAGGAAAGCCAGTGATGCCTTAAGCAAGAAAACTTTGAGCAAAGAAACTAATACCAGGTGATGGATCACAACAACCTCATTGCAAGCTAAGCCAACACCATTTGCCTACTTCTTACACCAATCACAAAAATAACAGCTTTTATACATAGTCATACAAAACTTTCCTGTAGGCTAGAACAGTGGACAACAATATGCCATTTCAGACAATTATAGAAATTAGACCTTCCTTCCATATTTGGCTGAGGGAAGGGCTGCATTAAGAAAAACAGCAACAACTGCTCAAGTGCTGGAAGATAAAGAGCAGCTATACAAAACAATGAAGGGAAAAAAGAGACCTCATGCATGCACAAGTGAAGATTTTTTTATTCGTACCTCATCACTTTCATCTACTTCAATACCACCGTCTTTGTCATCATCCATTTGTTTATGGATCATTCGGAGAGCTTCTAGGCTGAATCGGTCCTCCTCAGTAAAGCATGGTGGGCTGAGTGAACTGCAGGGATCTAAAGTGGGGAAAAAAAACCAAAAACAAACCATTAGTTAGTGTCACTCCAGAATATAATTTTCCCAAGCAGAAGAAAGGGCTTAATTTCTGTATTGTGTACCTGTACTTCATTGCACATAATCACCAGGTAATAGACATCAAATTTAACTGTAAAATAATAATTATTACCAAAAAGAGCGAAAGGGGGGGTGTGTAAATCAACTCTTTTTTTTATTCAGGAAGGAGTCCCCAAAAATAAGCTGGAATAGTTTTGACACTTTGTTTTCTCCACCCCAGTAGCTTACTATTTCCACTTTTTCTTCTATCATCCACTCTCAGTAATATGTCACTACAATAGCAAATAAAGTCACTGCACTTCCCAACCTCCTTTCTGAACCTCTGGGCTACACAGAGAGCGGTGGCGGAGAAGGAAAAGAACTGTCATGTCATACAATCATAGCTTTATAAACAGATAAGAAAGGGATGGTAATCACATTGCAGATAGAAACCTAAGTCAGTAGTATTACTACTGAACACAAAATATTCAAAGAGGACTGCAAGAGAAGAAAGTGCACTGCAAAAAAATTTCAGCTGATATATTTATATAATACATTATATATAATATATGATATATAAAATATAATTTTATATAATACATTATATATAATACATGATATATCGCTCATGTACCCTCTGATTACAAACGGCAGTCGCTGTGGAGCACATTTCCAAGTCAAAAATAGTATGTTTTCATTTGCATTCATTACTGAAGGCTCATGATTTGTGCACAGCTTATGGCTCGACTTGCACCATATCAGCCTGCTAAGTCTCTGTTCTTTCCTTCTACAAGGCATATGCCAAATGCTCCAAAAATCTGCAATGCATGATGATCAACCATCATTAAACTGGTCTTTCACAGACCTTGGCATTAACTAATAGCTAACTATTTCATTGATTCTGATGTATCCAACACCATCAAAGAACAGAATGTGGAGAAGGATACAGAAATCATTTTTTGAAAGTTCAGCTTTAATAAGATAGTGAATTTCCATCGTGATAGCCATTATAAAAATGCAGTGACTAGTCCCATAAACTGGTGCACTACACTTTAACCAATGCAAATACAAATTGAGGCAACATGTGAGTAATTTTTGCTTCTTCCAGTCTATCAGACACTTAAGCTTTCATATTGCTACAGAATTTATTTAAAGGCTCTTTTATATAAGTAATGTAAAGGAAGCACAGAAATAGAGAGAATGAAGAGTTTGCACAGAAAACCTAATTTATTGTTTTACTATTTCATACTAGTTGGATTATCATAATTCTGCTTTTCTATTATGAATTCTAAAATAATCAAAAATCAAAAATAATGGAATGTATAAGGCTACAAAGTAGAAGAATGAAGATAACAACCACAACATAGTTGGAATCTCAGATGCATAATTAACATAACTGATTCCCAAGGCTAGATGCAAGTCAACGCATTCTTAATTATGGTCAAGTTTTATTATACAGAAACCAACAGAAATCTGTCTTCTATGTCCATGAACAAAAACAAACAAACAAAAAAAATCAACATTAAAAAAACTCAAACACCTCACTGACACTGTCCCAGAACACAGATGCTGCTTTCAGAAATAATTCATGTAATTCAGAAAGACAAACTTCTAAATCTCTTCTTTACTAAATTACTAAGTATTAAATATTACTAAATAATTCATTACTAAATATTAAACCAGGCCAATCGCAAACTATAATTTTCAACTTTGGAATGCAACCAATATTTTATTAAGAAAAACCAAGTAATTTTTTTTTTTACTTTTAAAAAATATCTATTTTATTTTTCCATCTTTGTTTTATCACAAAAGGTATTATTTCGCAATACTCAGCCTTTAAATTTTTGCCCTGCAATTAAAACATTAATATAGCCAGGGGCATTAAAGGACTGAGCCCTGAAATAAAGGACTATATAGAATTGCTGTAGAAAGGCTTCCCTTGCAACTGTAATGAATCACCTCTGCCAGTAATTAAATTCCAGTGGACATGAAAAAGGGATATGAATTTACTTAAAATACAACCATAAATTAGAAGAACCATCTTTGTATTACATGTTTAGATCTATACTGTATTTTAAGTTAGAAGAAAGTATAAACATCAAAAACTGATAAAGAGGTCCCCCAAACACACCCAACTTGCTTAATTTGAACTTAGTTCTATTCTTACATAGAAGAAAACGTCAGATAGTGTTCACAATTTGCAAGCACCCACTCAAATGTTCTTCCATTTTGTTCAGCTGAAAGCCCAGCTTTTCAAATCAAAAGGTTTTCTCCAAGTACCATTTCACACAGTTGAGCCTGATCAGTTCCTTAATCAGAGTACTTATCTTAAATATGCCTTTTTAGGATATTTAAGCATGAAGGCACTTTAAGGAGCTATGGTTCTTCTTGAGAGAAGTAAACAGGCTGCTAGTGCTTCAAATGTCCCACGAGCTGGCTCCAAGAACACTTGATCTCTCTCTTAAGAAACGATAGAGTGCCAATTGCTCATTTTGAGACTGAGAAACAGAGTAGGACCACATGTTAACTGTAATAAAAATTAACCCACTCTAAACAGAATCCAGATTTACTTCGAAGCTACTTACTATTATGAAGCTGGTAAAATTAAACATTCCCAGACTGACAACACGGGTCATCATCCCCTTCTTCAGAGAACAATCTCAAAACAAAAACAAATTAGAAAGCCACTCCAACCTAAAGAACAAGTGAAAAGCATTTCACAAGCACACCTATGGAGCCCTACCAAATCCAAAAAACAGCTGACAGAAACTGAATCATCTGCAGCTCTGCAGAATATTCTATCATGCAGTATTTTGCCTCAATTGCATGGTAAAAACGATTCAAATTAATACTAGATGAAGTATGGTTAGTTAAGTGGCTATTTGGGAAGTTTCCAAGATAAAAGCCAAGAGGAAAAGTCTTAAGATACAGCAAACACCACAGATATAGCCCTGAGGCCCCACAAGAAGTCATAAGACTAGTTGATAATTTATTTTTCACTTTGAATCCACCCTATTGAAGGTGTTCTGGGATTCCAAACCTTCTACTGTACTTTAAGGACAAACCTAATTTCACGTCTGGACCAATTTCTCTGTCCTAGTCTGGTGTGTTGTCATAAATACACTTAGTCCAAAATAATCATCACAGGAAAAAGTAGAGATGATAAATTTGCCCATGGAATGAACAGATAGCTTGGAATTTGAGGCTTCCTTTAACAAAAAGCACAGAAGAATCAGCAAAAGCAAACAAAAGAGAGAAGGTGGACAAGAGGCATAAAAGCACAGCATATGTCACTCCAGGCACCAGTAATTTTACAGCCTAGTTTTTCATGTTGGTCAGAAGTGACGAAGTTTCAGAATTACTGGTCATAATAAGGAGGTAATTTCTTACTAAAAACTAAATGCCAAACTCATGGCTCAACAAACCTGGCATAGGATTTTGAAACAAACCCCTCTCCTGCCTTGAGGCAGTAACTGCCTCTCAGCTCTAAGGCAAGGGCAGAAAGTCTTCACCAGTCCACAGGAGTCTCTCACGAGAGACAGTCTGATAATGAACAAAGCACAGTTAACCAACCCAAGATACAGGAAACTTTGTATTTACAGGCCAGGGGAAAATACAACAGAAGTTAAACTTAGAAAGTGACACTGTCAACACAAGACATTAAGGAAAATTAATTACACTGATATCTTGATATCTTCAAGAGCTCATGTTAGCAAAGCCCTTGAAATTTATTTAGGGAAACATCATTAGAAATGGTTCCAAATCAAAAGGGTATATGCACTGCATAGTCTTTCATCTATCCTGCATTTACTGCTGTGAGTGTAACAGACTTCAGAACGAAAAGGACTGACAGATAAGAAACGGTAGTTCTTTTTCACACACTTCCTTTGCATGTGGCCCCTGGATCACAAAAGCTACGCCTATGCCAAAGCCTGTGACAGTGACCCCAACCAGGTGTTTGCAGTTCCAATCTGTCCCCAAAGTGCCTGAGCCTTTGAGTGTTTTCAATGCCTGAAAGAGCCTTTTTAAGAATGAATGGACAAACAAAACCTTCATGATTTTTCAGGGCTACCTGGAATCAGGTACAAACCATCAAATTTAAGATTTAAATGCCTTTAAATTTTCCCATTAGTTCACTCAGAGTAACTTAGCAGTTGGAAGTTATTTCAAACTTAGCAGTTGGAAGTTTGGAGACCGACTACTACATATCCCTTTTGTTCTGTGAGCGCTCACCAAGAAGGAAGAGCACTGTTTTTACGATAACATATGGCCGTCCTATGGAAACACGCAGTGTTTCCATGACTGCCTTTTACTGATGAATTCAGCACTGTTGTGCTAGGTTTATGATTCCTCATTCCTAAAAAGCCATCTGGAATAAAGGGAAGCCTCACAGAAAAGGCAAGCACTATACAGTGTCGGTTTCCTAAGTACGTACTCTCAGCTTAAAATAACCATGTTCCAGCATGCCCTGATGACAGAAGTGGATTTCTTTGCATTTTCCAGAGACAAAGAAGGTATCTGCAATACCCCCAACCCCCTACCAAATGTATCTTCCCCTAACTAGGATTTCTATTTCCTTATATTTCTGTTGTGCTCTAGTTTTACATGTACTTCAATACATTACAGTTTCATCACCAATTCAAAATATGACTCCTTTCAATGCACAAAACCTGTAAAAGAACAAAAATTTTTGAAGACCTGAGTACAAATCCAAGTGTCAAATACAAGAGGGACTAATGAAATTACTGAAAAAAGCAAGTGTTTTCAAGAATTTTGCCTGACATTCAAACAGCTATTCACAGTAAAGGCAATAAACATGTTTTTATCTTAAACCCTTACATAAGTTGTCAATAAAAATCTTCAAATGCTTGAGACACAGCCTCACAGTGAGCTTCGTTTAATCTTTCAATTAGAAGCTCCCAAAGCAAATCACTCCTACTCTTAATAATTAAACTCCTCCATA